GAAATACCATGCTGTCAAAATTAAGTTTGAAAATCATATTATCCTCATAAAATAAACCAGCATTAAAAACTAACTTTCAAGTTCTCAGGAAGCAACAGAGACATAAGTTAAACCTAGCTAAGATCCCTCATGTTTTATATGAGACTTCACCACATGGGATCTCAGGAAGGGTGGGGCGGGGAGGGGAAGAGGTCTGTGTTCCTACCCAAGGCACTGCCTGTCCATAGATAATCTACATCTGCAAGCCCCTCTTCTGGGCCCCTGTAATTTGTGTTTCTTTATGTCTGTTTTGGCCTTTGTTTTTTCCTTTCGTCTGAAAGCTTCTAATTGGCAGCTTGCGGGGTCAGCACAGGACCCACCTCAACAATTCCTAGGGTAAGAGCGAAGCTATCACATTAAGATGTGAAAGAGCAACACTCATTTCCTGAGGTCTTCAACTAGAATTCTCTTATCTTCTCTTTTGGAAGGAAAAGTTAACAGCCACAGAACAAACTACCCCAGAGTTTTGAAAACTGATTATACACTTACACACATGTGCACACATACATACCCACACACACACATGCTCTTCTAGGGACAGGTCGGGTATTCAGAAAAGACACAGCCCAGGGACTTCTACACTCAGTGTTTCTAGCCCTGAAACCCAAGAGATCAAAAGCTGGAGAGGGAACAGCCCCTGAAACTTCGGTCTGCCACACAGCTGGGCGCTGCAGTCACACCCACCTGCCCCACCCACTTCCAGCCAGAATTCAGGCAGACCTGGAAACCCCCGGCTCTATCATCTCCTGCAGAATGTTCAGGAAAAAGAAGCTGTAACTCCCAGGTAATGCCCACATTCCAGGCCCTCCCTGAGCATACTCATGCCCTAGGTAGGTCTGGGCTGGGCCCTGGAACTTGCCTTTCTGACAGTCATCCCAAGTGATTCCAATGCAGGTATTCTACTGACCAGACTTTAAATACCAAACTGACTCCCCCATCAAATCACTGAGAGATCCTTCTTGACAACAGATTTTCAAGGCCTCTGAAGTCTTTATTCTTAAAAATTCCCTCAGGTAAAGATGTGCAGCCAGACTTGAATCGTGCAGTCACTGGGCTAGACTACCTAAACTGACAATCAGGGATTATATAGTTTCTAGAAAGGCATGGATGATCATGTTAGTTTTATGTATCCCTCAGCCCTGACCCTCAAAAATCTTTCATTCTCCTCTCGTGGAAGACTCACCACTCACCAGATGATGCCCCTGTGTGATCCTGGAAAAGCTACATGTCTCAACAGAAATTCAACTGCTGGCCCTGTGCTAGTCTTTGAAGAGTGAGTTCTGGCCCTCCAACAAAAAGGCAAGGAGGAAACACGCTCGGAAAGAATGAGAAAGCCAGAATTAGGGTCCCCACTCTGCCATTTAATAGACGTGTATCTTGAACTCGACATGTCAGCAAACCTAGGCCTCTCATTTCTGGTCAGTGAGGGAGTTGGCTAAGGTCACCTCAAGGGTTTTTCCAACTCCAACGCTCTATAATTCATTTCCTGCATCATAAAATCCATTTCACTCCTCTAGAATGCAGCAGCAGCAGGTGTCAAGGACTCTGAAGTGCATTTGAGAACTCAGAGGGACCGACCGACGTCAGCTAGGCTATACAAACAACAGCTTCTCATAATTAATACCTATAGATAGGAAACAGGTGAAGCATAAAGCTGGCATGAGCCCAAAGCAAGAGCCCAGCAAACACATGATAAATAGAATTTCGACTAGTGAGAAGATTACTGTATTTGAAACTGAAGATGTTTTGTAATGTAGTTCCCTAATCCTCATATCAAAATAGTGGATTAATTTGTGAACACTGACACAACCTAAAAATTGTACACTTTTAGGACTTCGGAAAGAGGCACATACTTTCCTAACTAGGTATTTTGTACTTAAGATATAGTTTCCTAATTTTAGCATTATTTAAATAAAGACTTAATAAAAGTGAAAAGTGGGGGGGGGGCAGAATTTAAATTTTCTTCACACAGAGTGATTCCAGTTTTCTTACCACACAATCAATTAAATGCTCCTACAAAATCAGCGAGCAGGAGCTGGCCCACTAGCTCCCCCAGGAAATAAGACTAAGTTGAATAATTAGAGTGACTGAAAAACTCTGTCCCGACTGTAAAAGCATATACTGAAAAACTGCTCAGGACGACTAATGCTAAATACCAGAGTGGGGTTCAAATCCCCACAGATTCTTTCAAAACCTTTCAGAAATATGTTAGTAAGTAGCTTCTTCAGAAAATATGCCCACTTTGCCAAGTGTAACAATTCTAAACCCAGTTTCAGAAATCTATGTACTAGACTACTTTGTTCAAAACAAGTATTTACTAAGAAACTCAGAGTAACACAACAAAAAAATCTAAGGTAACTGTTTGAAGCTAAAGGAGTCAGAACCTTCTGAATGCTTATTTAACCCATACCTAGAATAAGATGTTAGCGGTCCAAATCAAAACAGGGTTAATAGAAGAGGAACTTAGTATTCTAATGTGTCTACTCAACTTTTTGATTTATAGTTCATTATCATGGATGTTCACTTCATGAAACATGTTCATATTTTATTGATGTGAACAAGTTTTATAGCAGAATTACAGATTGTCTGATAACTAGTTAGCAAATGACTTCCAAAGTAACACGTTCAATGGAAATCTAGGGTCATGGAGATAGAACTCTGGGGAGGGGGTGCTATGATTAAATAAAATGGGTGGAACTGTAAATCAAACTGGTTTCTTTACTACAGGATTTTAACATAGTTTTTAATGTTAATGATCTGCAGTATGGTTCTTAAGTGGTAAACTATGTAGTGGAGTTTTTCTCCACTTGTCTGTTAGTGGAACACTTGTTTTGAGGAGTATTTATGACTAAATCTCATGGAACTAAGTTTAGTGAAAACAACTTTCGATGTTTGGTGCTTACTATTCATTTCCTTGGGTACTTGGTTTGCTTATGAGAGATTTTAAACAGAAATTTTACTAGGATGGAAACCTTCATTATCCAGCTGTCTGTGAAAAGACCAAGAAGTGGGGGAGAGAAAGAAATGAACAACAAATATTAACACGCTTTGGCAGCACCTAAGTATCTAACCATGTACGACTCCATATTATCCATGCACTGTGGTTCTATTACCACCATCCTCCACATAAAGCCAGAGAAGCTAAGGGAATGAAGACAAAGAAATCAAATTTATCCAATTTGCCACATAACAGCTCTAGTAAAAGGTTAACAGAGAGTAAGATAATCCAAGACTGACCAGAGGTAAGAGATGAAAATCTGTGAGATGTTTCCTGTGGGAAAATGCCTAATTCAATGCATGACTGAATGACTGGATGTATGATTTGTTTACTGCTTTCATCTATCATAACAAAAAATGTGACCTTTACAACTAATTCAAGCAGCATTTTTAAATAAGATAACTAAGCAGTCAAACCAGAACCCTTATCATTTATATCAAAACCTTAACACCATTTATCACATTTATGTCAAAGAGGCTACAAAATGCACACATAAAAAAATGCTGTTTTGCTAAAAACATAAAATTCAGTATCAGGACAGACACATGTTAATAAAAAGTCTTTTTTCTCTATCTTTCCCAACTTCTCAATAACTTTTTTTTTTTAACAATTTATGTATACTGCTCACACTAATTTGGGGGGGTGGGGATGGAAAAATATTATCCATTTTTTTTACCAATATTCAAAAACAAAAAACAAACCTTCCTGATTATCATGGTGAACATCTAAGTAACATAATTAGTTAAAATATAACTATGGATTGATGATAAACAAGTCTTCCTTAGTTTTTACTTGATTTTAATTAATAAATTCTTTCTGTGAACCTCAATCTGCATCTCGAGTAAATACGACCACGAGGCCAAGCCGAGGTTAACAGCTCTAAGGCACTTTGGAGACAATAAGCCCTTCTCTCTCAATGAAAGAACAGCTAAAGGTATCATCCCATAAAAAGCCACAGTTGACTCCAGAAATTAGCTAGGGACCCCTTCCTCTACCTTCTGATTCATTTTACCAAGGAAACCTGAAGCTGAAGCCAACAGCTTACTTGTCCAAGGTCACATGATCAAAGTTCAAATTCTTGGTCCAACTTCTCAAACTGCTTACTTATTTCAAATATTTAGTTCAATATTCTGGTGATAAACCATTTGATATGCACTACTCATATTTAACAATAACATGAAAAAGCTACAGAGTCTGTCTACACTTCATCCATTTTCACTGTCTGCAAACAACTCCTGTATCAACCCTTCTATGGGCAAGAACACTTACTCAGGTTTTGCTTTATTCTAAAAGTTTAATCAAATCCTCCAAAATACTAAAGAGATTTTCCACTACCTAATATTCAAAATGTGCCATTATTAAAAGCCAAATTACTCATCCTTTCATTCTTATCTTTTAAGAGGAGCACTCAGATACCACTTTTTCCTTTCTTGTTAACAGACAGAAGCTAAGATCTTGCCATACTGAAATTGTATCTGTACAAATATTTATACACTGACAATGTCAGTATTACCATTTACTTGGTCATATATAAGCAAAACTACAGAGACTTAAGGAAAAGGACATTTTAAGGTCATTTTCCTCTGCTAAACACAATTCTCCTCTCATTTCTTTGTTGAAATGTTAAACCATGCAAGCTCAAAACTAAAGGTTAACATGATGCTTGCGGCTCTGGATACACGTACAACTTTGAAACAATTTCAAAGATGTTATTGTATAGTTCAGACTATATAAAAGTTCAGTTAAATATATACTGCTCATAAAAAATATTTTATGCTTTGAAAGGAAAACTTAAAACTCTCTAAAACTTAAAGTTTCATACTGCTGATGTAGCTAAATAACAGAGAGAAAATCTAGACGTGTAAAATTCTAGCACTGAATGAATCATAGGCAGCAAACTTATATTCTCACACCTTGAAACATAATCATTTACATGTGAGGAACCTTATCTAAAACTGCATACCTGTTATTTTGTCTCTTACAAGCTTACAGGACTCTATCTCACCGATGCTCCCAAAAAGACTCTTTAGTTCCTCCTGTGTCATGTTCTGAGGAAGATAGTTGACTATTAAGTTGGTCTTGCTGTCCTCTGTGTTCCCGGAGTCAACTGGTGACGAGCAGTTGTTGTTTATGGTAGTTGGACCATTGGCTGTGTTATTGCAAGTTGGCCCATTAGACAGTTGTGTTTCCATGGCAGCAATTACCTGCTAAAAACAGAGAAAATAAGAAATGTCAGAATTCATATTTCACAAACTATTAGAGATTCCATCCAAAAATTTAAACACTTGTCACTAAACACAAGTCGTCCTATTGAAATTACAGCAAAGCTTCAAAAAGTCCAACACCTATGCTAACTTTTACTTCACATTAAGCTATTCAATCTGAGATCACAGCTGTACGTTTCACATACATATTCCATACATGCACGAAAGCACAATTTACATCTTTAACATTCTCTAGAACCCCATTCTGGATCTATTCACAACCCTTACTCACCTGCTGTGTCCACAGAGTTGAGGAAATTTAGTAGCAAAGGGCACAGAATTAAATTCTGACTAAAAATACCAGAAAATAAGTGTTTAACATGCTACCAGAAACAAAGGAAAAAAAAAAAAAAAAGAACCCTAACTTTGCAGAGATATTTAGTTAGCCTAGGAGTTTATTCTAAAACTGACAGACATCCAGTAATTAAAATCAAGGAGCAAGAGTACTTTGAAAAATTAGAAATTTGTCAACATGTACTGTTTTGGTTACATATTGAAAATCTTTTTAATTGACAGTATCTTATACCTCTATCATTGGTAAGAAATAAGAAAATAGTAAATGTCTTATGTTAGGGTTTGCAGGACAACTTGGGGAATAAACTGAGTACTTAGCGGACCCTGTGAATCTAACAAGCCATTCTTGTCAACCTTGGCAGCTAAAGATCACCAACAAGGCAGCTGATCTACAGCATCAAAATAAAATCCCCAAACAATTCCAAGTGATATTCTGCCTTGACTCTGACTTTAAAGGAAAACAAAAAAAACAAAAAAAAAACCTATCCAGTTCACCAAAACAACAGTGCAAATATGTTCAATTTTTGCAAACAGACCAGCCCAAGGAATTTTCATTTGAGCACCTAAACCTGTTGAAAATGCAAGTGATAAGGTATCTATAAACTCCAAATACAGAATAAACAGTAGAGTTGGGGAAAATGGCCTCAAACTGTTCAGGCTACTTTTAAAATCACTTACTAAGCAAACTTAGATCTAGTTTCCTAAAAACCAATTCTATGCTCTTTGAACAAGAGTTACAAACCACAGCCCCAAATTCTCTAAAACTATCTTCCAAAAACTCTCTACTTTAGAACCCAATATTGTGGGGGAATCCAAAAATCCAAGCATCGTTGAAAGGATTATCCTTCATATTCCATCCATCTTTCAACTCCACAAAGAGCTACAAAACTAACAATCCTGAATTGACAGGATGCTAGTTTTAGAGAAAGTTTAACATACAAAAGGCAAGGAATTTGAGGTAAAATTTTAAAAATTTAAAAAAAAAAAAAAAGCAAAGTAGAGGCAAAGGCTGTTACAAGAAGGGAGGGGGAAAAATGTCTTTTAAAAAGCATATTGCCTAAGAAAAATAAAAGGGCACAACCATGGATAAGCAAACAGGAAGAACTCTACTGCCAAGAGATGTTTCTAAAAGGCGGCAGCAAAGGGCAGATTGAGACTGGTCAGACTGGACAAGGGCCGTGCCGTCAGCGTGAAAAACAGGAGACAAAACTCCAGCCTATCTATGAAACAGCAAACCAACTATAACCCCTTCCAAAACTTCATTTCCTTTTCAAAAGAAATGGGTTGTTTACTCTGCAAGCTACAAAATACCTCTCTCAAGTATGTATTTTCAGAGGTGAAGAGAAATAAAGAAATGTTTGGAAATCTGTATTGGAAAAAAAAAAAAACGGAAGCAATTCAAGATATGCATTTTATAATTAACCAATTTATCTGAAACTGCAAAAGGAGGTTTCAGATTTGCTAATAAAGCATAACCGTTCCAGTTTATAGAATATTAGCCCAGGGTCACTCTTTCCACAGGAAAATGCACGTGAGATTAACCTTTGTCCAGCAGTCAGGAAAACAATGATCTGCAAGATGAGAGTGGCCAAGGCCAATTGAAACAAATCACTAATCAAAAACTTAGGGTATATGTGGAGACTACATGAGACCCAAATACGAGGTTCGGACTAAAGCTCAGTGGGATGGCATTTGAAATATAAAGTGTTCATTGACTGAAATTAGCAGGATTTAGCAAGGACAACAAACACTCCTCACTTAATTGCACATTTATTTCCATGTTCAGGTGGCAAGAATGAGCTCCTAAGCCAACATTCAAGTGAACAGCTGCAGTAGGCTGTGTGCGCTGAAAATTACAGCATTTCTCAGCTATAGGACCATCTGCTCAGAATAAAATGATACTAATGTGCTATATTTTACAAATAATGCATATTCCATTGATAGGCTCAACACAACTGTTCACAGAATGCAAACTCTTTCAACAGTTACTGGGCAAGTAATTTTCAGCCAGATTTACAATTTTGACATTTTTTTAAGCATCAGGAATTGTAAATAACTTCAAAATTTAGTAACCAAAAAAATACATAGTAAACAGAATGAAAAAAATTACGGTAACTTAGTATTCAGACCATACCAAAACTTTTGTTTTTTGTTTTTAAAAAAGCTTGTCACTCTTTTGAGGCTGCACTAAATCCTAATTAAGATAATAAAAGTTACATACAAAAGCAGGTTCTGATGCTACATATACCACTAAAATTGCAATGTGCTTTACATCCTAATGATGGCCATACCACAATAGGTTAAATGTAAGAATAATTAGTATGCCAAATGAAAAGTTCAAGTGTTTGGTATGGCCTCAGCACTCCTGCAACATGCTAAAAAAAAGTAGCCTACAGAATTTAAGAAAAATCCCACAGACCCCGGTCCAAGGCTCTGCTGCCCACGAACCACTTCTAAGCAGAGAAGCCACATCACACAGTCTGACTGCCATGTTAGTTTGGAGTTGCCGTCTGCAATATGGACACAAAAAGTACCGTATGTTAGATGAGCAAGATAATGCAACAAATCAGTTTGTACAAAATTTACAGTGATTGTATTGATATTCCCAGCACGTCCATGCAGTGTGGCTTAATTGAATTTGAGGCAATTCCAATCTAATCTTTCCAAATTCATTTTAACATGTAGTTTTCTTGCACAAATTAAGCATTTTTAATTAAGAGCCTGATTTTAAAACAGTATTAACTAGTTACCTTGGCATCTATCCTAAAGAACTACCTTAAACCACAACTTAAAAAAAATTTTTTTCCATAATAAAATGAAGCAAAACACTGCATGCTGTCCTATCTCTTAAGGATGTGGGAGAAGGGAGGAAATGTGAATGAAATTATATTTATAGTGAGAAAAGGCAGTCATGTAATTCATTAGTGAATGCCTTGCATAAAAACATTCTTTCCCCCAAATATCAGATGGGCATTAAGAAAAGCTATATTTGCCCACACTGTTACATTATACTATAAATGATCCTTAATCCTGGAGCTTAAAATTAAAAGTGAATTGAAACCCTGTGAGGTTATTCTGCCACTACAAAGGATCTCTAAGAGTTTTGCTGAGAATTGTTCACATATACTAAGATGCAGTAAACCAGCATCTTTCAACTGAAATAACTGGACCAATAAACAGGATTGTTTGGAGTAATGTCTATATAGGATGTCAGCTTTGTCCCTAAAAGAAATCAAGTGAACGTTTTTAATATGCAAATTATAAAGCCAGCACAATATGAAATGAGTGCTGCTATGAGGAATCCAGTATGGTTAATGGGCCATTTACCACTTAATACAACTGTTCCAATCCTAAACAGAGTCACAAAGTTGGCAAAGAAACCAAAGTTTACATTTTAGCCATATATGCAGCTACTTTAAATGGTCAACATAATATTCACAAAAACTGGGGTCTAAGAAAATAAACAAGCAACAAAGGAGGGCTGAAAATGTCTTTTACTTGCATGTTTATGATTATAAAAATTTCATCCTTAGAGAGAAACCTGGCTGTACATGATTTACTCTTGATGCATATGTGATGAAATTTATAACACGTGACAATGGATTCCATTTTCTGGCATCTACCTAAAGGGTTTAGCATACTCTTTACGGGATGCCACAAAAATGTTTTACTCTTCTTCCCTTCTCCCACTGTTACCAGGGAATTCAGTCTGATTGTATGTTCTTTTATTTTACAAAAAGAAAAGGCACTACTTATAGTTGAACTGAACCTGTGAAAAAATAAGATGCTTTCATAGCCATGATGTATCGATATTTTGGTAAGAATCTAATTGTGATTAGACTACATGGGTAGAACAGTTAGGAGGACCACACCCAACAGGTTAAATCAAGCTTAAATGTATGTCCTCGATACCCTGAGGAGTTAATATCTAAACATTCGTCACTACAGAAAACCATAGATTCAAATTTAATGGCCTCATCCCTTCCATTCCACAGGAAGCGGACGCTAATGAGCTAATCTATTGACACCCCTCTTTCTGAAAGCCCCAGGGAGGCGAACAATCACTTTATTGCACCAACTAGCTAGGAAGGCTGTGTATGGAAAATGATTCTACTGAACTTTTACATTTCAAGCACCCCAGACAGTTTCTCTGCTTGAGGCAGACACATACCTTTATGGGAAGTTATAAATAAGTTGCTCACATGGCCCTTACCTTTATGCTGGCCAACAATTCAGTTACTAAAAATGTAAAGCTACTTCCCCTTCACTTAAGGACAGGCAATTCTGCTCTACTCAGTCTAGCAGAGACAACCAGGCTGTGCACTATTTATAGATTCTACTGGCTCTAAAACTCTTTGGAAGCAAAATAAAAGGCCATATTCCAGCAACATAGAACCATTAATTTTAAAGCTTAAAGAAAGTGTTTCAATGTATGTTCCCCTCCTAATTTAGACATCAATTGTGCCAACTAAGACTACTTTTTCTCCCGTCATTCTTCATGAAATCATTTATGAAAAGGCACTTGAGCATAGATCGATCTAGACTATTCTAAACTTTCCCTGGTTCTGAGAGATAATGATGAGGTGTCAACTTGGTGGGAATATGGATTTTAAAGGGTGGGGTGGAGGGCAGCGGAAGAAGCGGCCTTTATGTTTTCACTTATAGTTTACTTCCAAATTTCCAACAAGATTTTTTAAATGGAATTCCCGCCCCTCCTTGTTTTTACTTAAATGGCCTTCTGTATACTTTAATATCTTAAGTTTCTCACAATAATGGATTTGGGGAAACCAAACCGATGCTAATGTTTGCTCACAGGTGGGAATAAGAGTTTCCTGGTTACATGAAGAAAAAAAGCAAAGTCCCTATTTTCCAAACGTCCCAATAAAAAATTCTGAAAACTAATTAGCTTTTTTCCTATTTTCAAACCTCCTTCAGGAAGCCACCAAACAAGACAGGCGGTTAATGAAGAAAGTCTGAGAATTCTCATTAAGTACACCGTCTGCTACGGGAAAAACGGTTTCCGAGACCTAGAACCCACTTGATTCCGGGATCAGATCTGTGTGGTTTAAAGGCACAGAAAAGGCTCCTGCACAATTCTCGTGAGGACCATCTATGTGCACCAGCCAGTCCACTGAGACGTATACCATCCTGATCTGGGCCCTCATTTCTTATCTGGACCACCAAATTACAGCCTCCCAAAGCTTCCCTCATCATCCTAACTCACACATTACACTATTTCCAACAGACTTTCCTAACCTCTCAAGAGTTCTCTGCTGCCTAGCAAATAAAGTGCAAACTGCTAATATTAAGAGCATATAGACATCTGAGATCCTTGACAATTGCTTTCAGCAGGCTACTTAGTCAAGCATCTAAAAATATGAACTGCTCCTGGTCTTTCATGCAGTCACGGTACACCAAAGACCATACATTCTTCTGGCTTTGCCTGTACAGTTCCATCTGCCAGGAAGGCCCGCAAGTCACACCTATTCCACATCCAGCTTTGAGATTTGTACATACTAAGCAATCAAAATTATACTTAAGGTCAAGAGCAGTTCCTTTAGAAAAAAAACCAAAAACTCAAGCATGAAGGGGCAATCACCTCTCTAAATAGTATGCAAACTTGGTAGCTTGTTTTTCTATCTCACTTCAAGTATTTCAAACCACAGATAATTATGAAAGCATATTTTCATTTTTTTGGCTCACTCCATCAGCCATCCTCACCCACTGAAATCTAAATTCTTGTTAAGTGGCACAACAAAGGAAACTATCTTTTGAGTGATCAGTTGTATACGGTCATTTCACGAGCCTGCTATGGCTACCTGACCACTACAAAAAAGCCAGAAACCAAGACAAATCCAAAAACATGCTACAAATGTGCTCCAAGCCTCTGGCCAACAGCATCATCAAGCTGTGGTGTCTGGACCTGGGTCTAACTTAAAAAAGAAAAAAAACCAGCAGAAGTACAGGTAGATGTGAAAAAAATTAAATTTTAACTCAAATGTACTTAAGAAATACATCGGGATTAAGTTACAGATCTCAAAGGGTTTTTTAATTGACAGAGACTAGAAAACGTAACAAACATAAAAGGTAAGATCTCTAAAAAGAATCATAGCTAGAGGCAAGGACAAGTATCTCATACTCAAAAGGTCTGGCTGGGATGGAGTGACCTTGGATACTCGTTTACAGCTAGAGGGTTCTCAATACCTCGGCTAACACAGAACCAGGGCAGCATCAGTATAAAGCAAAGCCTTTCCTCAGACGACACCAAACCTCTCTAAAGACAAAGTCACAAGGAGCAAGGAAGCAATATCTCTGACATTAAGAGCAGAACCCACTATGAAAAAAGACAGCAGCCATGGCCAAAAGGCATGTTCCTTTGAGGAACTCAAGGCAAGGAGCTAAAGCTCTCGAAATAATCAGCGAAGTGAATAACGAGAGTTCAAAAATGAGAGCTGGGTAAGCAGCAAGGTGGGTCATCTGTCTAGCAAACACCATGCCTACAGAATGTTTTATCTTTCCCATTCAAATCACTAAACTGGCATTTTCAGGATACATTTCAGCTTTGCTGAATGAAAACAATAGAAGGGTCAACCAAGCACTCAAACTCAACTTCTGAGGTGATGGCTCCCAGAATAAGCCATTTCTTTGTTTTCTTTAAACCTCTTCACTCTGCTGTGTGGTTCCTAAAGGAATAAAGGTTTGCAGCTTTAAACTTCATGGGATATCCTCAATCCTGGAATCCCTGTCAACTCCCCGCCCCACTCCCATACCATTTTAGCTGCCTCCAGCTCCATGGATTCTTCAGCCTTGCTGAGCTCAGATTTTTGGCCTTGGGGCCAACAAGGGTCCAAGAGCTGCCAGAGACACTGCCCCAGACAGCTGCAGGACTCACAGGGAGAATGTTCTTTGGCAGCGAATGCGAACATTTCTCTTGTCTCTTGGCCCTTTATGGCCCCTACAGAGTCCTTCTGACGCCAGTCTTTCTGATTTCTGAGGTTTTGTAGTTGTAGAGCTGACAGAATTAAAAGCTTTGAGGTGAGAGAGTAAGTATGAGTTTAGGGGTCGGTCCCAAGTCCTTCCCTTCATTCTAGGTCCGCATCAGGCTTCCACGCTGGGCAACACGAAAGCAAAGATCCTATGAAAAAGATTTGCTTAAGGTTTAACCTCTGTTCATCCACCCATTCATTCAACAAACATCAGTTCACAGCTCCCACAAACTAAGGACTGTCCTACAGGCTTCAGAGACAGCAATGAAGAAATATCCTGGAGTGCACATCTGCAATAGGAGGGGTACACATGTATAAAACTGTGTATTAGCTGGAAATAAGTGTGCTTTGGAATAAAAGAAAATGCAGCGCCGAGTAAGAGGGCTGAGAATGTGGAGATGAAGGATGGATAGTTTCCAATATTAAACAGGAGGTCTCAGTGAGAAGGCAAGCTTTCAGGCAAGATTTAAAAGAGATGTAAGCACCCCTGTGGTGGGCAGAATAT